ACTTTTTTAACTTTTACCCTTTTTTTAACCCCTTGGGCCTCCGCCACTGCAAGCATAGTCAAATAATGTGGGAGAGTAGGAACACGATTCTCATATTTTGTTAAAAATAATTACTTCCTCATTTTCACTGTCTTTATATTTATTTATTTTTTGTTTTTCTTCTCCCTTCCCCTTCGCCAAGGTCGAATGTCTTTTCCACTAATATTTTGCCTCTCTCTTTATCATTTTCCTTCTTCTTCTCCTCATATATATATATATATATATATATATATATATATATATATATATATATATATATATAACGAATACCAAAACTGAACTACATCAAAACTAGGACAAGGGAGTAACACTATAGTAAAGTCTATAAAAAGAAATAGGTAACTTCAAATGTAATATTTATTTAATTATTTGGATTTGCTTCTATCGTGAAGCATGATAAGGGATTACGTGTAAAACAATAAAACAATTAATGAAAGAAAGAATGAATGATCTTGTATTATTGACAGGGCTCCGAGTTGGATACTTTGATACAACAACTGCTTTCGCCTCAATTGGGATCGACTATATAAAACTTACTATTTATGTTACTCCATTTAAACTCGTCTAGTTCAGTATTCTGCCTGAGTTGGTGTCTGAGTGGGAGGAGAACGAGCAACCCTACTACGACCGGCGAAGTTCTTCTCCATTACAACCGCTCGACTGGCGGTGCCGCTACTTCCGGTGCCGGGGTTCGGTGTAGGAGTGTGAACAGGATTATACAGAGATGATAACAAAAGATTTTTGTCATTTATCCCTCTAACTCTTTTTTCTAAAAGAACCCTAGTGGCTTCTGCATGTGGTGTGGTGCTAATTAATAGCAAAATTATGGTAGTAGTTAAGAAGATAGCACTAATTTGGGGTTTCATGTTGATGGTTAATTAGTGAAAGAAAAAAAATTTGAATCAAGAAATGTTTAAAAAAATTATGATGGAGTGAATGCAAAAATAGAGGTCTATTTATATGCATGAAACTGAGTACGTAAGAAGAATAGAGTTTCTTTTTTGACGAGCTGTAATTTGAGTCATTGGAAGGAACTTTGACTGTTGACGGCAGGGTTTAACGACGAGAATTTAGAAATTGAATGGGTCATAAGTTATAACATAGGGAAATTCAATGGACCAACGTTAGGACCAAAGAATATTGTTCGAAAAATAACTCATTTGTTGTGTTTGGTTGTTAGAAAATCTTTTTTTAAATAAAATATTAGGAGTATTCATCAAAAGGTAAATTTGACTGTCCTGTATTTTTTCATATAGCCTCAAGAGTTAGTCTATTATGTATGGCAAGGCAAGATCTCTAGCTTTGATATTTTTTTTTTTTTTTTGTTCCTTGACGATTATACAAAAAAAATCTAGGTTTATTATTTATTACGAAAATATCCGAGGTCTATGTCAAATTAGAATTTTATGCTATGATATAAGAATGTTTATGGTACATTAATTGTTTTTTCTTTCAATCTATAAACACAAACAAATGCTCTTTGCAATCAATAAGAAACTCAATTATTTCTAGGGGTTGGCGTTCGAGTAATTCGGATTAGATATGAAAATTTCGGTTTGAATCTTCGATTTTCTGATTGAAGAAATGACAATCCAAATCCAATCCAATAAACTTGGAGTAGATCGGATTTTTTAAGTTTGGACTCGGATTAATCGGTTTGGATATGTTGGATTTTCGATTTTGAGCTTATAAGTTGAGATGTTTCTTCTTTCTACGATAATGAACATCCAAATGAAGTATTCATGTTAAATTGCCTAAAAAGTTCCTCGTTTTCACCGTAATTATCCAAATAAAGTACTCAAGTAATGAAATCATCATCAAGGAAATACAACAAATACACTAGTAAGGTCGATAAAAAGTAGCAATAGTAAAATCATGTCAAAATAGAAAGTATTCTGATAGTAACTTAGTAATTAGTATGGAATATATGAAATTATGGGGGTGTTTGGATTGGCTTTTAAGCTGGTCAAATCGGCTTTTAAGCTCTTTTTTAGTATTTGGCAATGTCAAAAAGTGCTTAAAATAAGTTAAAAACTGCTTAAAACAAGCCAAAAGCAATAAGTTGGGCAACCCCAACTTGTTGCTTTTTCCCGTTTGGATGGGCTTATTTTAAGTGACTTTTCAGGGAGAAATTCAAAAATAGCCAGATTTACAAGTGGTCGTTCAAAAATAGCCCAGTTTCAAAAGTAATCGAAATTTAGCCACTTTTCATGTAAAGATAAATCTGAGCGAAAATATTATTCAAAACCCGGAAAATACGCCAGTATATTATGTTGGAGTTCCAGCATAAGTATACCTGAACTCCAGCATATTATACTGGAGTTCCAGGATAAGTATGCTGGAACTCCAGCATAAGTACACTAGAACTCCAGCATAATATACTGGAGTTCCAGCAAAGTATACCGGTCCAGTATAATATGCTGGAAGTTCATACACAAGTGCTCGAATCTCCAGTATATTATGCTGGAACTTTCCGTGTGTTGGAGTTCAGCATAATATGCTGGAAGTTCATACATAGGTGCACCGAACTCCAGTATATTATGTTGGACCAGTCTCTGTTGCAGCACAATAGTGGCTATTTTTCATTGACTTGGTAAATGCTGGCTATTTTTGAATGACCAGTCCGAAAACTGGCTAGACCGTGCCATTTAGCCAAAATAGCTTTTAAGCCATAAGTTAGGAATTCTAACTTTTGGCTTATTTTTGTCATTTTAGCTTAAAAGTACTTTTTTATTCTATCCAAACACAACAAAATGACTTAAAAGTGATTTGTGCTTAAAAGCACTTAAAATAAGCCAATCCAAACGTGCTCTTAGCTTAAAAGCTATTTCTGCTGAAAAGTTACTTTGTTAAGCCAATCTAAACGGGCTATATGTCTAATGGTTAGTATGTTGAACTTGTTACTATTGGCATATGAATAATGAACTAAATATAAAATATAAAAATACGGATTTTCGGATATCCAAAAATCTGAAGTATCAAATTTAATATCCAAAAATTAAAAAATTAGACGAAATCCAATCCATGATCCAAAAATTCAAACAATTTGGATTTCGATTTGCATTTTGAGTTTGCCCAAACTATGCTAGCCCCTAATTGTTTCACATCAACATGTCTTACTCTCTAATAATGTTTTACAAGTAATAAAGTTTGCAAATTTAGAAATTTGCATAGAAGTTAGGATTATAACTCGTTATTAGAATAATTATTTTACTTTTAACAATACATTATAATTACAATACTATTTGATAGGATTAGGGAGTAGTACTAGGACTACATAGTACTTCTCTCTATATATATATATATATATGGAAAGTAAGATTTTGAAGCCGTTGGAACGATTGGAATGGACAGCCATGCACACAGAGAAGAGGGGCGAAGAGAGCCACAAGAAGCTCAAGAAAATCGGCGAAGATTTCGAAAACTCCTGTTTCGCAGCGTACGCTTTCTCGACACGAAAATTATCGCATTCCATTCATCAACAATCAAAATCTCTCTGCAACGCCGGCCGATCAATTACCGACAATAATTCTATGTATCAACGGCGATCAATTTATTACATCTCTGTTACGGCGGTGCATTTAACGGTGTGTTTCCGGCGATTTTTGATATCTGGAATACTCAATTGCGATCAGCTAGGTTTCTCAATGTCTATCACGCAGACGAAAAATTGATTAAATGCACATGAGCTTTTTCCTTGGATATAAATGGTGCGTCATTCTTTCGATACTTGAACTACATTTGTTCCTTTATAAAAAAAATGTTTTTTTTCTTTTTCGTGCGATAGTAATGCAACTAGGTTTGTCAGAGTTACTTAGTACCCATGTGAGAGATAACTAATGAGTTCGTGAAAGAGAATATAGAGACACATTACGATGTAGTAATTGCATTCATTTGAATTCAGCATTGGAGAATTTATTATTTTCTTCTTACTATTTATAATCCAATAGATATATCCATTAATAGTGTATTAATGTTTGGAGAAATAGTATGGTTCAAAGCCTAAGAAAAGACAGTTGGACTAGAGTTCAGATTAAGTGCATAATCTGTTACTCCATATTGTTAAGGCGTAGTAGTAGTTGTTTGGCAACAGGCTATTGTGATTTGTGCTGGAACACCAACTTAAATTGATATGTGACATAGTTGGAAGCCTTATAGTTCTTGAATTTTACTTCCATTTTTTGGGGTCGATATCATTGCTGCAAAGAAGTGAGAAGTAGAGTAAAAAATCAGCGGTGTTTCTGTAGCTTCTTAGGAGGGAGGAAAACCAATCTAAGTGGAACAAGCATTCAGAACTGTTTCAAATACTCCAGCATTCAGAACTGTTCAAACTCCATGTTAGTCTAGGAAACTAACGATGACATATTGACATCATGTTAGAATGCTGCAGTAGCATCAAAGTGGTGACTGATCAAAAGAACAATTATACTACATGAAGAGTAATTTTGACATGTTTAATGTCAAAAAATATTAACCTAAAAAATTGATGGAACCAGTGAAGTTCTCTTTGATTTTTTTTTTT